TTCTGTTTCATCAACAGCCTCTCAGCATCCGCCCGAGACAGTTTCCCATGGAACCACCTATGGATTAACAAAAAATGGGAATACAATTACTGCAAGTGTTCCCTTCATAAAAATACCTTTAACAAAATTGGCAGTTTTCATTTCCTTATCCCTTAGTCGACGATTGTTCCCTGTGGTGTTTAGAACAGTATTAATTAAATGCCAGATGTTTCACATGGCTTGGCAGAGACTCCTACACAACCAGCTTAACTCCATCGTCATCTCTAGGTTGTCTATTCACCTGTGTCACACCGGTGCTACTCAGGCATTTCACCTGGCTTGGCAGAGATCCCTACACAAACCAGCTTAACTTCATCGTCATCTTGCAGTGATCTCTAGGTTGTCTATCTCCCCGAGTCACACCGGTGCTACACACATTTTTCTCCTGGCTTGGCGGTGTAAAAATGCGAACAGTCAACCTTTCAACTCATGAAACTATTCTTCCCATTGCACTCATAAACATTCATTATTTGTATACTACCAAAGATTTTAGGGAGGGAAGAGAGCACAGGTTTGTTTGAAAATACATTACATTCCTAGTTACATCATGGAAGTACACCCTCTATGCTCTGATTATCCAGTACAAATGCTCCCACTCGCAATGCAGTAGCAAGATGCACCACGGTGTGGAGAACATAAGACGATGGTAAAGCTCTTTCAAGACTATCAAACTTTCTTTGACAAAAAACTGTGTGCCCATATTTAGTTACGACATGCCTATATATGGTCATGATGTGATGCCATCACGACTATATTTAGGCATGTCACATGTTTTTGTCAAATAAAATTTGAGTCTCAACAGAACTTTAAAACTATTTCATACATAAAATATGGCATAATTAATTTTTTCTAAATTATAAATAAAATGGAGGAATGGGGAAATTTTAACCAAATTTAGGTCTGAAGAGTGCCATTTCCAGTCACCTACAGGTGCCATAATCAGAAATTGTCTTACCTCAGCCTCAACCAAGGTGGGGCTGAGGTGGTGTAGACTCTCCATTTGTGTGAGTCCTCCCTGGGCCCCCTCTATTTCAAATTCCTAAATCCATCACTGGTTAACATATATATGGGAAGGAAAACTTACGTATGTGGTTTCATCTGTATGTAATTCTTCGGCACCATCCCATCACACCCATCTTGTTCTGCTTTGTACCAGTGTTTATCTTCATCCATATTTAGGATCTTTGAGGGGAAAAGATTAATTTTTACAACAGAATATTATCATGTGAGTAAATAATAAAACATTGAAAAGAGTCTATTGTTACACCTGTCTTAAACAAATTCCTAATTAACCTCTTGTTATTGTCAGTTTAACACATTCCTTCCTGATATATATTACATAATATTTAGGCCTTACCTTAATCACCGAGCCTTTAATGAAAGAAAGCTCGTCACTTTCCTTCCCATTAAAATCATATAACGCAATGGCTTCCATGCTGTATTGATCTGTATTACTCAACCCTTGACGAGGTTAAACTGCTGCAGTAAGTTACGTAGACCCACTAGGCCTATATAGCCTCGGTACTATCTAGGCCTAGCCTAGGCCTAAACGTTAGGTGGCACGGCGTACCAAACTAGGAGGTAAGCACTCTGGTTGTACTGTATGCAGATTAGACCTAGGCCCACCCCATAGTATAGTAAAGGAAATTACTGTTATCCTTAGAAGAATTCCTGCAGCCTGCCTTGGTTCAATTAAGAAACTGTTACGTTGCGAAAAATTCAGGATTTTTGACAATGCAGAGTATCGGTCTACTGTAGAATTATTGCGCTCTGAGTAACATATTAAATACTACAGATACGTGAAACTGCTCTATCATGTCGTCCACTAATTGTCTCTTTAAACAGTGAAGACCAAACACCACCACCTGTCGAGGACAAACCTACCTAGGCCTACATACTGTAAACAAAGATTATCTTTGGGATCTTCCATGTTACGATAGGAATGTAGAAACACCCGCTGTATAATTATTGATGATCTGTTGACTCTCAATAATATTAATCTTATTCATTATTATTTTAGTCATACAGCAATACAGTTATTAAACAGAAAACATAAGAAAAACAAAACTATCAACATGAACATTCGGGACAATTAGGCTTCCTGGGCTGCTTATACACCTGTATGATTCTTGGTTCGGTCGGTCACCGCCAAATAAAAACTTTTTTTTACCTCAAATTTCTTTTTTTTTTTTACCTCAACCCCAACCATGGTGGGGCTGAGGTAGTATAGACCACCCATCTGTGAATGTCCTAGCTCTCTGGTCCCTCTATTTCAAGTTCCTGGATTTACCACTGGCCACCATCACACATTAACAATAGCATCATAGAAGTCTGTAGCAATACGAAGTCGTCTCTTACTGCTGGTGAGCATCAAATAAGTGGTGCTTTCTATATATCAAGTGGTGTAAAAACAAGGATTAGACATGAAAGTCCGCAATAGTGTTCAACCGGCCTGAGAGACAACTATCGTCTCAGTTTCAACCTTTACGCAGATTATGCTTTGAGCTTTTCAAGCAATGCAACAACACAGGCGAACACAATTATGAGGTTTACTTTATTGCATCCAGCTTCGGAATTCGAATATACTGACAGAACCACCCCAGTGCCATGGATCCGAAACAATATCGAGGTATCTCTGCTGGTCCCTTCTCACTAAATTATGAAATTATTCTGACAATTAGATTAACTACTCCATACTACGAACAGTAGCTCTCCACCACTCAGTTTGGTTTCAAAGGAAGCGCCATAGGCCTATAAACTGATCTCAGAGATGAATGGGTGTAGTGACGGAATTTGTAACCAACAACTCCAAGAGCATAATTTCGGGTCGTTCATAACTGTCAATAGGAACTTTCTGTTTGAAAGTCTGTGAAAATCTGACACATTGCTGCCCAGCCGCCCCTCCCCCCTCCCCCCATCAATTTTTTTCCAAATTAAAAAAAAGAGGAAAATTCTAGTCTAAGAGTGCCATTTCCGGCCATTAGAGGTGTCATAATCAAATTTCTTTTTTTTAACCTCAACCCCAACCACGGTGGGGCTGAGGTAGTATAGACCCTCCATCCGTGAATGTCCTAGCTCTCTCTGGTCCCTCTATTTCAAGTTCCTGGATTTACCACTGGCCACCATCACACATTAACAATAGCATCATAGTCTGTAGCAATACAATACGAAGTCGTCTTTTACTGCTGGTGAGCATCAAATAAGTGGTGCTTTCTATATATCAAGTGGTGTAAAAACAAGGATTAGACATGAAAGTCCGCAATAGTGTTCAACCGGCCTGAGAGACAACTATCGTCTCAGTTTCAACCTTTACGCAGATTATGCTTTGAGCTTTTCAAGCAATGCAACAACACAGGCGAACACAATTATGAGGTTTACTTTATTGCATCCAGCTTCGGAATTCGAATATACTGACAGAACCACCCCCACTATCTACTATCATCATATATTTAGGACGGGTTTAAGTAACTGTCCGTATAGGATGAATAATTGAGGGTTATAATCCTAGTAGGTTACGGATTATGCTGTCCTGTATCCTATATTCCGATCGAAAAAAATAAAAAATAAAGACAGGGGCTATAAATTAATGTAAACCCCCCAAAATGGGGGTTGAGTTGGCCAAACAAATATTCCGACGACTTTGTCGAGGGGGTGGGTAGGGGTGTCCAGGTTTGTAAGGGGATGGGGAACCAATGAAATCATCAAACCCAGTGCGTTGCAAATAACGATAACTAGATTATATACCAAACATGGTTGATTATAAACATACGCTACAACCAGAAGCACCGATTTTTAGTCCGGGCGCTTTAGTCTCAGACATCAATCTGTAAAGATCGCTTTGCTCTCTGGAAGTAGCCTATTACTATTATAGACTTAATACAGAAACTACCAAATTAGTATATACTAAATACAAACTGCTGATTGCTTTTGTTCCTGCACCCTGACAGGGGGAATTATTTTTTCCCATATCCGACGAAAAAAAAAATAAATGCCCAGCAGATACGATTATTCGAGGTAGATTCCAAATGAGGCTAGAGAAGGGGAGTTTATTCGAGGGGGTGGGGGTTCAAAGCGGGGAATTTATTCGTATAAATACGATACCTTTATTTATAGCTT